CCGCCCACATTAAGACCTCTGCCAATCACGAGTAGGCCGTCTCCGCCCACATTAAGACCTCTGCCAATCACGAGTAGGGCCGTCTCCGCCCACATTAAGACCTCTGCCAATCACGAGTAGGGCCGTCTCCGCCCACAGGACCACATGTTCTGCAGAGACCCCCTTCTTGGATGAGACACACCTGAGTCAACGAGGACTGGACCGGACCGGACCAGATAGGACACACTGATGCAGGGTTTTTACTGGTCTAATCAAGGTCTTAAACCTGTGTCAGAGTTCTTACTGGTCTAATCAAGGTCTTAAACCTGTGTCAGGGTTCTTACTGGTCTAATCAAGGTCTTAAACCTGTGTCAGGGTTCTTACTGGTCTAATCAAGGTCTTAAACCTGTGTCAAAGTTCTTACTGGTCTAATCAAGGTCTTAGAACCTGTGTCAGAGTTCTTACTGGTCTAATCAAGGTCTTAGACCTGTGTCAGGGTTCTTACTGGTCTAATCAAGGTCTTAGACCTGTGTCAGGGTTCTTACTGGTCTGATGAAGATCTTAGACCTGTGTCAGGGTTCTTACTGGTCTGTGTGTTTCTCAGGAACGTGGATCCAGTTGGATGTCATGTTCTTGAAGTGGAGGTAGAGTGGGGTCACCAGATTCCTGATGTAATCCTGAGGAACCACAGAAACTTGAGGACAGGATTCATTTGTTTCATTGAGCAGAAAGTCTGAGTGTCCTTCAGCTGCTGGAGTCTGAGGACTCTGACCTGCATGGGCTGGTAGACCTCAGTCCGGTCCAGCATCAGGTGGAAGTATTGCAGGTTGTTGAGCGCAGACTGCCAGGGCACATACTCAGTCTCCTGAGACAGGTACGAGGTGGTCCTGAGAGCCAGAGTGGTGGAGACCAGCTGAGCTCTGCAGAGAGGAAACATCACGTCCAAAACAGCTCAAAGATTTTATATTTTCAGAATCTCAAAGATCTAAAAATACGCAGCAAAACACACAGACCTGGCCAGGTTGAAGGCATCGTCCATCAGCTGAGCTCTGTTGATGACCGGGATCACCTGAGTCCAAACACAGACCATCCATCATCAGACAGGTGTTTTAGGTACGCTGACCTGTGACTGGTTACCTGATGGTCTGAGCTCTGACTGGTTACCTGATGGTCTGACCTCTGACTGGTTACCTGATGGTCTGAGCTGTGATTGGTTACCTGATGGTCTGAGCTCTGACTGGTTACCTGATGGTCTGAGCTCTGACTGGTTACCTGATGTTCTGAGCTCTGACTGGTTACCTGATGGTCTGAGCTGTGACTGGTTACCTGATGGTCTGAGCTGTGATTGGTTACCTGATGGTCTGAGCTGTGATTGGTTACCTGATGGTCTGAGCTGTGATTGGTTACCTGATGGTCTGAGCTCTGACTGGTTACCTGATGGTCTGAGCTCTGACTGGCTACCTGATGGTCTGAGCTGTGATTGGTTACCTGATGGTCTGAGCTGTGACTGGTTACCTGATGGTCTGAGCTGTGACTGGTTACCTGATGGTCTGAGCTGTGACTGGTTACCTGATGGTCTGACCTCTGACTGGTTACCTGATGGTCTGACCTCTGACTGGTTACCTGATGGTCTGATCTCTGACTGGTTACCTGATGGTCTGACCCCTGACTGGTTACCTGATGGTCTGACCCCTGACTGGTTACCTGATGGTCTGAGCTGTGATTGGTTACCTGATGGTCTGACCTCTGACTGGTTACCTGATGGTCTGAGCTGTGATTGATTACCTGATGGTCTGAGGTGAGCAGAGTCAACAGACGCTCCCAGTTCCCTAGGTCATAGTTGACCCGGTAATATCCGGTAACGTTGATGTTGGCCAGAAGCCATGAAGCCCCGCTGCTCATTTTGGGGTTCAGAGCTGAGAACAAATTCAAATTAAATAAAATGTCTTCATGTTGGAAATATCTGCTGTTGGTCAAAGTGCTGCCAGATAAACAACTTTCAACAATAAAGTAAAGACCAGTCGTCCCACCTTCTCTCCCCATCAGCCACCAGATGTCTTCCTGAAGGTCTCCGTCCTTCATCCAGCGGACAGGAACCTTCCACTCATACCTGCAGGAGACAACACGGACACGCCAGGGTTTACTTGGAGCTGAGGCAGAAAACATGGACAGACACCTGCTGTCCAGGACTCAGACAGGAGAAGCAGGGGGAGAAAATGGACGGAGGATTTACGGTGCTGCAGGTTTTGCGTACCCGTAAGGTGATTCCACCGTGACATTGGACTCTGGATCCAACAGAAAGTGTTCCTGGGAAACCCTTCCTGTGCTTGTATCTATGGTCACCACCGGGAATCCCATCTGATGCACCCAAGGGGGCATGATGGCGTCAACTCGACGAGGAAGGGACACGTTGTTGTCCTGCGCCGCCTGCAGAAACAGACTTATTTCTCTGATCTGATGAAGAACTATGGTTTAAAGTGTGAGGAGTCTTTAGTTAACCTTGTCCAGATGGTTCCACAGGTTGCTGCCCACGGTGTTACCGTAGGAGAAATGTCGGAGGTAACTCTGCGGGCAGAAGGAAAAGCTGCAGTTTAGGACTCAGAGGTTTGTCAGAAGCTGAGGAGAACGTATCGAACATACACTGAGTCCCTGTCTGAAGACTGCTTCTGACAGGAAGTCCGACAACATCCTGAGCACTGCAGCACCCTGCGGAGACAGACATCAGTCACTTCATCTGATCTGTGGTGGTTTGTTATGAGATCAATCCTGTGCCAGCAGGAACTGAATTTAAATGTCTCAGATTGAATCTGAATGTTCATAATTTGAAACCGAATTCATTGGTTTGAAAATAAATTTTATTAAATTGAAACTGAACTTAAAAGTTTTGTATCTGAATTAATTTGCTTTGAAACTGTATTTTGGTTTATTAAAAATTCAGTTTGACTACTTTCACTTTCAGTTCCATAATTCAGATGTTTGTGTCACATCCTGGTCCTTGAGAAAGCCAGGCAGAGTAATCAAACACAGATCCACAGATTTATGTTTCACTTTGGTGAAGTTTCCCTTCTGGATGTAACAGAGTTGATGCAATCCACTGTAAAAGTGACAAAAACAGACAAAGTTATTTTATCGCAGTGATTAATTTGACCTATATGTAGAAAATGTTACATTTACATGATGACATCATGGATCACTTATTGATCAGATGCTGCTGCTGACTGATCCATGATGTGATGTAAATGTAACATTTTCTACATATAGGTCAAATTAATCACTGCAATAAAATAACTTTGTCTGTTTTTGTGTTTTAGATTCAATCTGAGACATTTAAATTCAGTTCCTGCTGACACAGGATTTATCCCACAGTTTGTTTTCTTAGAACATTGATTTTTATTCTAACATCAGGAAATTAAGTGTTTGTTGCAGACCTTGCTGTAGGAGATGGTATCAAACTGCTCCATGATCTGTTCTGGAAGGACGACGCTGTCTTCTTTAGAGCTCAGAGGATGAGACGAGCTCAGAGCATCAACAGCAAACACTTTGTGCACGTGGTCCAGCACCATCAGGTCCTTCTGGGTCCGTCAGACAGGAAGACACTCAGAAGGTGCTGCAGCAGGGAGGAACAGGAAGGAACCTGAACTCACCACGCTCCAGTCCGGCTCGGCGTAGTCCGCTCCCAGGTAAGACACGTAGGTGGCAAAGCCTTCGTTCAGCCAGACCTCATTCCACCAGAGCAGCGTCACCAGGTTCCCAAACCACTGCAGCAGAACCGGGACATGGTGGGACCACCAACATCTCATGGTGGATTCAAACAGAACCTTACCATGTGGGCCAGCTCATGAGCGATAATGGTGACGGTGGTTTCTTTGTTCCTGTTGGACGAAGTCTCAGGATCGAACAGCAGGTTGGTCTCTCTGTACGTCACCAGACCCCAGTTCTCCATGGCACCAAAATAAAAGTCCGGCAGCGCGATCTGATCTGGAGCCAGGAGGAAAAACGTCCGTCAAACTTAAGAAATTTCAGTTTATATTTTATTTCCCAGGGTTTATGTGCCGTGGAGTCTGCTCGAGGGGGAAGCAGGTAAAGTTGGTAGTTTTGAAACCAGGTGAAGAAGACTCACCTGACTTGGTCAGAGGGTACGGGATGCTGTAGTAGGACTGGAAGAAGTCCAGAATGGGTCCAGTTACATTCAGGGCGTAGTTTCCCTGACCCTGCTCAATGGCCTTCCTACGAGCCCAGATCCGGATCTCAACATACGACAGGAAACAATTGATTTAAATTTACACACAAACAGGTAAAACTACAAAAAACAAACAAATGAGAGAAACCAGTTCAACCAAATCCAGGTTCACACAAAACAAAAGCTTCTGATCTGGATTTAATCCTTTCAGCTGATCTTTTAACTGGTTCAACAGTTTAGATGATGTTTCTTGAACTTCAGCTGCGTCATTTACTTCTTGTTCATGTTGGGAGGGTGTGGCTAACAGTGGGCGTGACTAGACATAGCCCCTCCCACTTTATGCTAAGCTAGCCTTTTAGTACTTTTAGCTAGTGTTTTACTACATTTAGTTTTTAGCTAGTCTTTCACAGTACTTTGCTGGCATTTTGCTAATTTTAGCAAGTGTTTTTCAATTACTAGTTTTTAGCTAGACCTTTGCAATACTTTACTAGCATTTAGCCAAGTTAGCTAGTCTGTCATTTACAATACTTAACTAACATTTAGCTAGTTTTAGCTAGTGTTTAACTACTATGGCTGTGTCTCAATTCATGAGCTGGGTCCGACACAGCCTATTAGTTTTAGCTAGTCTTACGCAATATTTTGCTAGCATTTTGCTAATACTTTGAGCTAGTGTTTTTCTATTATTAGTTTTTAGCTAGAGTAACCTTTGCAATACTTTACTAGCATTTAGCTATGTTAGCTAGTCTGTCATTTACAATACCTAACTAGCATTTTGCTAGTTTTAGCTAGTGTTTCAGCTGCATTTTGTTTTAACAAAACAGATTTAGCTTTTTCAGCAGATTTCAGGATTCACACTAAATTCCACAGAAAATGTATTTCTTCCTTTATTTATTTGTTTTCACCTAAATAAATAATTGTTATTAATTATTATTAAATGTAATTTGTTACAACAAAATGTAAAAAGTAAAAGTTTTCCTGTTGTTAGCCACAGCTGGAGATTTAAATTCACAAACACTTGATGAATAAGAGTCATAAATCTTGTTGAAGTGATGACATCATGTGACAGAGGTACCTGAGTGTGTCCTTGTGTGGCGTTCAGGTGAGTGAAGTCCGAGACGATGATGGCCAGCAGGTAGGTGGACATCTTCTCAGTCGGCTCAAAGCTGGTCTGCAGCGCAGCTTCTCCGTCAGCAGAGACAAGAGAAACATCTGAGGAGTCCAAACACACAGAGTCTGCTTTAAACTGCTGCTGCTTCAGACAGAAACACACAAACTTTCATCGTTAAAGTCTGGAGGAAGTTACAGGAAGGTTTAATTAGTAAAATCAAGACTTGAGTCAAACCAGGCTAAACTATGATCCAACAGGTTTAACCCAACATCAAAGAACTCAGCTGTTTTCAGTTTGACTGGTGAGGAAGAGGAGCAACCATCCTCTAATCAGGTGAACTTTTTAATCCTGAACTTTTAGTCGGAGCTCATTTTGAGTTCTTTACTTGTCAGTAACAGATTTTGGCCTTAAAGCTGATTTTAACTCAGGATTAGATCTAAATATTAAATTATCCACAGATGTTTTCAAACTGAACACAGGACTGGAAGCAGGAAGTTGAAGCTACACAGACTGGCGCCTCCTGGTGGCTGGTTGTAGTAAAACATTTAAGCCCCGCCCCTCCATGCAAACGGAGTTGTTTAAAGGAGAACGTAGCGCCACCTGTCTCCTTGCCGTTGGACAGAGCCACGGTCTCAGGCGGGTGAATGAGGGTAATGTAGAACACAGCTTTCATGGCCGGCTCGTCGAAACAAGGGAACGTCTTCCTGGCGTGAGTCGGATGCATCTGAGAGGTGGCGACGATCCTGTGGAGACTTTCACATTAAAAGTCAAACTGTCAAAATAAAAGGAAAGGAAAGAACATATAAAAACGGACTTCCTGAAACCGTCTTCTTCATATTCACTGCGGTAGAATCCAGCCAGGTCGTCGGCGAGCTCTCCGGTGAAGTCTGCGGTCAGACGGTACGACTGACCCGCCGTCAGCTGACTCTTCAGCTCGATGACCAGAAACTGGGTCTGCAGCTGCAGCCAAGTGGACCGGATCGCTGGAGCAGAACCGCCTCCTGGACGATAACCAGGGACAGAGAGTGACATGCTGATGTGTACGGCGTTGTAAAGTAACTAAGTACAAATACTTCTTTACAGTACTTAAGTAGAATTTTTGTGTATCTGTACTTTACTTGAGTAATTATATTTCAGCATACTTTTTACTCCTTACATTTTTAAAAAGACAAGAAGTATAAAGTTGTTCCTTTTATTTCATTTCTGCTTGTTTTCATT